GTTGAGAACATAGACTCTCCAAAGCAGTATCTAGCATATCCACTGACACAGAATCTCCTTTATGTTCGAGAATGTATTTAAGTGCGTAAATATTCTCGGAATATTTCAAGTCCATCAACAATCCCTTTATTTGTGCATTTGCTGACGTGAGCCCGTTTTCCATTAATTGAAATATAATTTTCGGAAAACTGCCTTGAGTTGCAGTGTTGCTCAGCGTTGATGTAGAAAATGGAGCACTAGTTCTAGGAGCACTTGTTGTGAGAAAGTTGTCTGATACATAGTTGGTTGTTGAGCTAGAACTCATCGTGTCAGCTTGTAGAGGGAATTGTGCTTTCAGTTTCTTAACAAATAAATGGAGTAGTCGCTTCACTAACGCTTTTCTATTGTTTGCATGGTGTAACAATTCTAACCAATAGTATTTCTATGCTCAGACTAACTCAGCGAAATGTTTTGCACAGCATGTAATGTAAATGGCAATTATCTATTTTTTTCACGCTAGTATAATAGAGTTCAACCATACTTTGTATGAACAGCGCTCAAGGATTCGATTGATTTTAACCAATAGTCAAGTATTGGTTTAATCAAATTGCTTGCATACTTTAGTCCATAATTACTGAATTATTCGCGTGTATCATGACGTACAGAGACAAACGATTCTCGATCCTCATGTGTATCGATATATGTACAAAGTCAGCAGAACCATTTGAGTACGGGAGAGGTAGTTATACCTTGAAGCTGGAATGTGAGTCGAGTATTGGTGATCGTACGTTAGACTGCTAAGCTCAGTTTGACATTCCGTGCATTGTGATTTGTTGGTAATAGTCAAGTAAAACCAAGAGTAATTTACGCTAATGTTTCTAAACCACGAATTCTGACTTGCAGGAGTAACAATGCATCATTAGCATATATAACAGTCGCAAGCAGAACGATATTGTCATCGATGTCAGGCAGAATTGCAAATTGTATTTCGTGGTAAAGTCGACGAGTCAGTTATTGAGAGTTTTACGCTCCAAACTGGCTGCTGTCTCAACGAGGTAAACAGAGACGTAATCACAAGGGACACCAGTCTCTATATTTAATTTCTCTTTGTTTTTTGTTTGTTACTCTCATTCTTAAACATTATTTATATTATCCATTTTCAACCAAATTTCACAGTACGCTTTTGACATTTGCTTAATCGGGATTATTCTCTAATCTCGTCGGCAGACAGATCAGACGACGACAACTGGTTCGAACCGACCGCGCTACATTCCAAAAGAAGTTATTGAACTTCTCCTAGCAGCCGACGAAATGCAACTTGAAGAATTAACCAAACCAGTTCAAATGCATCTCTTACAAGAATGGGAACCATGGAATTCGGTCAAACTTTATTCTGCTCCATCGAGTATTCGGCATTCAAAGAACTCTTTGCCTATTGTTCAGAGACGTTATTGGACGATCCGGCAATTCTCTTCAAGACGGGTGATTATCTTACAGCCGACGAAGACACTTTGATATCTGTTCTCGAACGCAACGATTTGGTAATGGACGAGGTGAATATATGGGACCACGTCATTTGTGGGGTAAAGTACGAATGAACGAGACTTTGCCGACCCACTTTCAAGTTTTGAAGTCAATATTAAGGCGATACCTACCATTGGTAAGAGTGGATACGATCCACCTCGAAGACTCCTATATCAAGTTAAAAAGATTCTCCCAAGGGAGTTATACCAAGCCATTCTAAAAAGACAATTCATTCCTAGCAGTCCTTTATCACTAAATGTCCTTCCTCCACGTACCGGTATCGATTCTAACCTCATCACATGGAAACACGTTGATATTCGATAGATCGCAAAGGTCGGGATCAATACTACTTTAAACAGAACCAGTATTTCTTCTGAGGGGCTCTGTTTCCGGCTTTACGCCAAAGACGTTCCATGAACTCTGCGATGCCAAAGGTCCAACAATGATAATCATCAAACCACCCTATTCCAACGATCTCATCAGAGTACTTCCTACTCAAACTTTCTGACAATGTTGGAATTGGCAAGATATCTCGTGTGAGAAACAAAGAGCATGCGGTCGGATGGCATAGCGACTGTGGGCCTGATTTTGCATGGGCATTTTAGAGACGAATCCGATTGTTATTGTCGACCCGAAAGTTATGTAACGCCGATATTTTCGAATGTGGAGATGTTAGTGTCAAAGAATACAAAGTGTTTTCGGTGAATGACAGATGGGATGATGAACGGGGGTGGCAGGCAGGCGGGTTGCAACCGGGAAACGAGTCGGGAGCCGAATTGAGAGACCAATCGAGAGATAACCCAAGATAGCAGGTAATAGGTGGCTTCATTCAAGTTTGATATCGGTATCTTGTTGCAATTATGTTTATATACAGTATATATTTTTAGTTTCCGGTTCATTATAGAATTAATAGAATACAAATTACATGGATAGTTTGAAAAGACAAACCAAGGGTAGTTGTTGCGTAATTGTCCGTTGTAATAACGATCTTCAAAATAAGTGAGTAAAAACTGTGATAATGGGATGAGACTCGGTGTTGCTCGTCTAAAGTGGTAGAGACTAATATTATAAACTGACAAAGTAATGACGAGAGTAGTATTTAATTTAAGGGCCTACTATTAACGGAGTTTTGCAGTATAATTACTTTCATGTACGTCAATGCTATTCGATAAACATGCGCATCAAATTTATTAACCGCTCGCCCGCGGTTCATTACTGCAACCACGTTTATGTAATGCAAAAAGCACTTTCCCAAAATTTTTTACCCCTGAAAATAAGCACCACCCCACAAGCATATGACTTTTCACAGTGCACCATGACCGAGGAGATTATAGACAATTGCACGAAATTTATCGCATGTTACTCATTCACCATTCACCATTTCCTTGTTATGTATGTCAAAAACAGATCTTTTATTAATTCTTGTAATTCAGAGGAAAAATAAAACATTTATTGTAGAAAGTATAATGATCAGAAGAATGTTATTTGTCTAAGTTATCTAAAATTGATTGTTTTTCTCGTTCTGAACCTTTAGAACCGCCCGATGCTTTGAAACTTTTCTCAGAAAATCGCTGAGCACTCGAGTGCTTTTAGTTGTAAAATCTTGTCGTTGATAATATTGTTACTAACAGTTGCACCAGTTATTCAAAATGGTTCTTCATTAACTGTCCAGCTTTGCTGGAAGTATCCTTTTAATTGCTGAACGGTCAAAACATTGCGGTTAATTAATTGTTAACTGTGTTCTTCAAATTTTTTGCCGAACAGTTAGTATGATGTTGTACAGTGCCTTTTCTGTCTCCAGAGAGATCATGTCGCTTGCAAGCATTAGTTTTGGCAAAATTTTTTTGTAAAATTGTAGGATCAATTGACAGTTTTATTTTATTTAAACTTTAGAAGCGCGTTCTATTTAAAATTTCGAGACGCGCGCATCATTCTTTACAAATTAAACAAAACATGTTATTATATATGACTATAAACAGCGGTCATTACTTATATCTTGATCTGAGATTTTGGTGATAGGGGACTATTAGAGGTTGGGCTATAGGCAAGATGATTTTAATTGAAATGGTTTTGGTACAAACTGTTGGCGACTGTAGGCAGATAAACGGAGTGACTATAGATAATAGTTCACTGTACACAGTCAACCTCGTTAATCTTAAGTCCATGGACTATTTAACTTCGGCTATGGAGCAAAATAATTACACACATTATTGATATTACACCGTTCAATCTTCTCAGCAATGCTTGGTTCATTTTTCAGTCTTGCGAATCTCTGTACGCACGCACAGTAGGGGTTTTTCGCTTTTGTTTGGTCATGATTGAAGAATAAAATCGAATTACAGAAAGTTACCTGCTTATCGGATGAGATTTTAATCTTCAGGCTAACAAATCGTCGGATTAAAGGGTTAGGGTTAGGGTTAGGGTAATATTTAATATACCATTTCTCACAACTAGATTCGGGTTGCAGATTACAGCGATTTTATTATCAATGAATTGGGACCAGAAATTTTCTTTGGATATAAAGTTAACGTGTATGATTTTGTTACACGAAATTGTGTCCCCAAAATTAAGCACACACACCCTTTTTAGTTAAAGAGGGGAGGACTCATTCGGATTTTTATCACTGTTGATATTTTTTTACGGGGTTGTCGATTACCACAAGCGTATTAACAAAGTTCAAATTTTCGTTTATCCATCAACGTGTTTTTGCTAGATTGATTATGTTGCATTAGTTATTCCCCCTCCCTTCTCTTCTTCACAATTTATTAAAGTTGTTGTGAGCTGGTACAGGAGTGAACTAAACTATAAACAGAGATATTATATGTTGTGCAAAACCTAATTCTTGGTTTCAAGTTGTTATTCTTTGTAGAGTGAAACACGACGCTGAAAAATACAATTCACAATGCATAATTTTAATGTCACACGAAACGTGTTGTATAAATTACGTGTTTGCATTCAAATCGAGATATCTATATATAGACTTGCAAATCTATGGCAATTGCAGAAATAGAAGTTCATTTATTTACTAAATCCATGTTCGGGATTTGCATTTGGAGGGGTTGCATTTATGAGCGCTTAGAGAGGTTTGATTGTAAGAACAGTTTTGGGCAAAATGTTCATGTAAGATCAATATTGTGATTTGGAGGGCCGGTGAATAAGTTGCTGCCAAGTTAGTTAATACGAAAAGTCAAAAATAATGCATGTTCTCATCCCAAATATAAACTTTGTGTCTATAGCCAGATACAATACAAAGGGAAGAAATTCAATAAGCTCAGAACGACAGGTTAACCTTTTTTTACTGGTGTTACAAATCTCAGCAATCAAAAAGAGTTTCATTTGGCGTACATTCAAAACTAAACTTATATTGGCAGGTACAGTCTATTTTCGATAGTTTGGATTTCCGCCAATTTTTCCTGGTAAACATTAGAAGACCGCAATTTTTTAATCTGGGCAAGAATATTTTCCAGTTTAGAATAATTTTCTCAATTTTTTTTTTGTTTGGCTCCGGTCAAGAGTTCATTCAAACGATTTACTTCCTTAACTACCCTTTTGCTTGTATATGATGTTAGCAAGTTGATGTTGCATCTAACTCGTAACTTTACCGCTCTAACGGCAACAAACATGGTTTTATTACAGTATATTATTATGAAGCAATCTTTTTTTATTTAAAAAAGCGAAGCCTACGTACGCTGAAACGCCAATTTTTACATGTGCGTGCGATGCCGGCACTGCGTATGTTACTCTCTATAACAAAGCAAGACACAGAGGCTGTTAGTGGCGTATATAAAAAAATAAAATAAAAAATTTTATTTCAACGTTTTAGCACTACAGTCATTTACATCTTTATTCGTCATTGTGCATAGCAATTACTTTAAAGTTATTCCAATCGTATGAACTTATAGATTAGTTCTAGACAATAACATTATAAACGTTTACAAGCAAAGAATAGAACAGGGATTTTACTTTCGGACTTGACATCAATCACACTTGGGACAAAGCAATTGCGTGCGGCGGGCGCTTGGTCTAACGTAGTGTCACTCGATTAAAGCAAGGTGCATATCAATTTCGAGATTTGTTATATAACCATCATGATGTGAATAAAGAATGCTTCTTAGTATTCATTGACAAATAGATACCGAACCGGTGCTTATGCGTATTACTTGTTAAATACGTAAGAACATGATTATTATTATTGTTCTAAGTCAAATACGTAAATCATTATTGCATAAATAGTATCGACGCAATTCAAACTATGACTTGAATAGTGTTTGGTTTAAAGATATATTTTAATAATTTGATAACAATGTCGCGTACGCGTGATAGTAAGAATAAAAACATACAGTGTAATATAGTAGAATACGCTCGCTTAGAAACAATATGGACTCGCGTTAATACATGAAATATTCGTTATATATAGAAGGATGGCGATATTGTCTATAATTAATCATTTTTACACCAGTTGGCAACGTTTCGATTGTTAAGTTACGTTTCATACTATCGAACTTTTCTTCTGAATATAAACAAACCCAATGAAGATTGACATCCAACTACATAGAGCTAAAGTTAGATAATTGAATACAATTTTACACCACGTCAATGAATAAATGAACAATACTTACATTATCACCGATGAAAGTAAATTTTATAGTAATGTTATCTTCAGACAAAACGTTAACCACGCATGGTAAGATGTATTCAGTATCATGACAATTACTACTAGCTTCGATGCCCATATTATGTTGTCCTCCTAACTTTGACGTTTCTATCATTGTCTACAAATTCAAATGGTTATATTTATCGTACAATTAAGACTGTAATAAAAATACTTATTCAATACTTACTTCGATCGTAGCTTTCGTTGAATTCCGCAACAAAATGCTGAGCTTGTATTTATTTGGAGGTACCCGGAATATTGGTATTGTTATCTAATATGTAATTGCGTATTAGTTATGTCATACAAAACGATTGATGATTGTGTTGACAATTTCAGCACTTACTTTATTAGGTCCAGAAAGGCGCAAATATCCCCAATAATGATAACTATTAAATAATAAACTTTAGTAATGGCAGGCACAATTATAACAAATGGTTATTACATGCTGCTTACCTTCGGCATCTACTCCTATCTTCAATATGGCTTGCAAATTCAAAATGTGCTTTCAGTTGACCTGATAACATAAAGTGATTAGTATGCATAATAATATATACAATTACTCAATCAAGTGTAACCCTTACTTTTATGCATATAATAGACTTTTTGAAAAAACGCTTTTGTATGCGTGTGATTGTTATATTTTTTATACCAAGCTACAGCAGCGTTGTACCATCTGGCATAATTAGCTGTTCCATACTGATTGTTACACAGTGATTGCCATTGTTTGATGTCATATAACTTGTATAATGCTTGATGAGGACAACTATCCACAAGAATTTTAAACCATTCCACATCAAAGTGTTCAAGTTTGTTTACATGTTCATTAACTACATCAAATGCCTTTTCTTGTATATGTAAAAGCCTAATATGGCTGACATCTTGTCCAGCTTCTTTCTTATACTTATTCCCCAAACCTACATGGGCCACTAGACTTAAATACCAAGCATCACCATAAATCTTGTTTACTTCAATTGCTGTCTCAATATCAAACAGGGCTTTCCCACAATTTTTCATATTCAACTTGATCTTTGCTCTATTACACAATGCTTGATAATTTATGGGATCAGCTTGTAGTATTTGTGAATAAATGTTCAAAGCCTTTTCCAACTCATCATTTTTATATGCAATTTTAGCATTCTGGAACAATTTGTCTATATTAATATTTGGTGTTGTTAATGATTTCCAAATTGAACTAAAACTCCAGGTAGATTCAGAATCAGGATTCCTCATTGTGTTCTTTCCTTTTTGTTTTTTAAGGTCTTCACATTCATCAAATATTTTTGTATCTGTATTAGTGTTGCTTCCAGCATTAGCATTATAAATGCCTTGATGATCAATATCTGTAATATATTGTTGAACATTATTGTATATTGTCTGTTGTGGCAAATAAAACATTTAATTCCACTTCTGCAAAAAGGGCATTCCAGATTGTTTAATGACAAAAGAGCCTTTGAGCTAATAACATGTTGACAGTTAAGCTGATAAAAGTCAGCAACTGCTTCATAAGTAATATTGCATGTTAGATCTTCTTTGATATAGTTGCTTGGATTTTTCTCAACAGTTTTTCCTTTTCCTTTTCCTTTCTCTTTTGTATTTGGTGTGTACTTTAAAATCATTTTTGATTCAGCTTCTAACTTCTTTTTCAGGTAGTAGTACATGCTAAGTAATCTTGGTATATACTTCTCATTACAACCAGCAATATCATCAGGTGTTGTAACAAACAATTCATTATTTCTGACTTCAAGACTCAATAACACTTCAATGGATTTGAATTGAATAAATTCAGTAGTGTCATATAATAACAAATGGCTTGTGTAGTTGTAGAAAATGTTTTCTGAATAAGTTGTTGGGTAATATCCAAAATGCCAAACCAGAGTTCATCACTAACATTCTGATTCTCTGTTACATTTTCAGCATAACATAAACTGATATAATACCAGAGATACTCAAGAAGCACTCTTTCTTTAAAACTTGCTGAAATGGCAGACTCTTGTTCACACCACTTGTCAAGACTATCTTGTAATATCATGAGCTGTCTCCAGGTTGTATACCATGGTTTGCCTGATGGTTCAACATGAAAGGCCTCTGCTAAATATTTCCATGATCTCTCCAAGTCAAAGTCACCAAGAGGGACTTCAACTCCTGTATATACTTTAATCCCAACTTTAGCTACTCCAGGAACAGTAGCAAGTATAGCTTTTAATGCTGCAATAGCTCGATCCACATTTCTCTGGTACTGGTTTCTCTCATCACAGATGGTGTTTAATGTATTCTCAATGAGTTCAAGAAGGTATCTAATATTGTGATTGCATTTGAAGCCCTTGATAGTTTTGCCTGATTCACTAGATCCTGAAAATTTAAGTTTCCAAGTTTCTCCTCCGTGTTGTGTAATTGTTGAATCTACATCCTTGTAGTTAGAAGTGGCTTGTCTAATACCATCAAGAAAGGAGCCTGTAAATTGACACTCCTTTTGACACATCTGTTCCAGTATAGTAATAATAATACGTAATCGCCATTCCAATTTAATAACCGTTTCTTCTGAAAACACATCATCGAACTCTTGAGAACATAGACTCTTCACGGCTGTATTTAACGTATCTACTGACACAGAATCTCCTTTATGTTCGAGAATGTATTTGAGTGCGTAAATATTCTGAGAATATTTCAAGCCTGTTAACAATTTCTCTATTTGCTCATCTGCTAACATAAGCCCTTGTTCCATTAATTGAAGTATAATTTTAGGAAAACTGGACTTTACAGTGTTGCTTGGTGTTGATGTAGAAGATGTCATAGAGGAAGCACTAGGAGCACTCGTGCTGCCTGATATGTTGACGGTTGTTGAGTTAGAACTCATCGATGCAGTTGTAATGGAAATGGAGCTTTCAGTTTCCTACAAAGTACTATGTAATAGTTAATGGATAAGCAAATAGAGTATTTTAGTATATATTTGCTTTCGCAGAGCGGTCACTTCGTCAATCAACGACATATTTTCCGACGATTCTTACTATTTATTCCCCATTACTATTTATTTACTGTGCTATATTATTTGCATGGGGTGTGACATGCTTAATATTTTATTGACGAATGTCGTGTTGTTTGTATGTATGCTTGCTGTTATTAGTTCCCGGCGTGATAAAGAACACAATAAAATGTGCAAAATTGTACTATTTGTCAATAAATTCCAACCAATAGTATTCTATGCTCAGTTTAACCTATCACGACAGATCCGCATACATAGCATAGTAACTGTCACACCGAATTTTTGTTAAACACGAAATCCGCAATATTCGACAGAGATACATAGTAGGAATAGGTGTACTAGAGTAGTTTGTATTATCATTATGGTCAATGCGTTACTTGGGACATTTGCCTTTGATTATTGTTAATGTTGATGACATCACCTTAGTAGTGACGTCTGGGATTATCGCTGACAATACCTTTGGCGGATGTATTTGTAATTACAAACAAAAAAAGTGACACAATTACATGTTGCACAAAACAGTCATTGCATATGCCACTCTCTATTAGCGCAGTCTATGATCAAGTAAAGCACAAAGGTTGTTAGTGGCATTTTAATTTGTCAAAAATTCTTTATTTCAACGTTTTAGCACTATATACAGTGAACCCTCCATAAATGCACGCTGCCTCTCGTTCCCGAGCTCGGGAGTTAGACGTAAATGCACACTCTGCATATTCTGTACTGCACAGTCTTTCGAATCCCCACCATAGTAAACCTCCCTCTCTAAATGCACGCCGGTGATATCGATGTTACATTAAGAAAGTAAACATAAATTTGTACTCCCAGGTATTACTGTGCCCCGATTAGACAAAGACAATTACCGTACCACGAAGACTAAATAAAGAAGTTACTGGCACGTTCTGATTTATGGTCTTGGTTAATTACATTATTATTATTATTATATCGTTTTCTGATATCCAACAATGAAAAAGCGAACAAAGAATTAACAAAGGTTTACTTTAAGTTGAGAGAACAAGAAGCAGATGACAGTGTTAATGAGGCTTCAAAAGGTTTAGAATTTTTTACAACAACAAAACGATGCTGAGGAACTATTTAAACATATCGATGCTGAGATCAAAAATCACGTCATGGTCACACAGATACATGCTACGGCTCCAATCCTTATTCTATTAGTCTGTCTTTCTGGTTACTTGGAGAGTGTGACTGAAATAGAGAGAAGATGACTGTGAGATAGAAAGTAAGCAAAAAAGGAAATGAGGAGATTTATTTGCGCGGTTTCAGAGAGTGTGTGTGTCAAGAGCGTAATCAAATAGTAAAAAAAATGAGTATAATGACAAAAAAGTAAGTACAGAGGGAGAAAGAAATCGAGTCGAGACATGGGGACATGGGAGAGGAAAAGAGTTTATTATCACGATATATCGATTTGGCTTGAATTGAGCATTGCTGCGTTGATTTCTTAAACACACGTTATTAACAATATATGAAAGTAAACTTTATTAGACAAATAAGTAAATATATTTAAATCTATGGATGTTTTGGCTTGATACGCATAATTGGAATGCGAGTTTCCTTACTATCAGCTACAACAACCAGAGCATGTAGACTGTAATGAAGTGCTGAACTCCCAGCTTTACTCACACGCCTTTTCCGATGGACACTACCTTTCTGACATAATTTCGATGGTGGTGCTGTTGTTGTTGTTGTTGTTGTCATCGTCGGTGTTATTGTTGTCATTATTGCCATTGTTGTCATTGTTGTCATTGTTGTCATGGTCTCTGTTATCATTATCGTCATTAAGATTGGTGTCAGGTGATACTCGATGCAGCGCGCAATAATGTGCACGATGTACTGTTGAGTTATAAGACATGACAAGTGCATCAATAATGTTAATCCAATCTTTTCTCTACAACTGATTGTTACTATCCCATAATAGCTTTGTAAACCCACGTCCAATCGTTTGATTGAGCCTCTCAACTTGTCCTTGTGATTGTGGTGGCGAGGACAGCCGTGCTTTATTGTAATGTTGAGACTTGAGCAGATGTTTTTAATTATCTCTGCTATAAACTCCTTACCATTATCTCTTTGTAAAATTTGCGGCAGTCTCGGAATCTTGAACACGTCCTTGACCAGATAATTAGCAACGGTCGCCGCTTCTTTATTCTTCATCGGGACCGCTATAAGAAATTTGGAAACGTACAAACGCATGTTAATAGCCATGCATACCCATTATTTACATCTGTGTACTCATGGAAACAACCGGAGTTATATCGGTTTTTTCTTTGATTGATGCATTAATTGCACATGCTTCACAATTGTTCACATACTCTCGCACTTCTTCTTGCATAATACCAATATGATTTTGGAAGTACTCGACGCCTTTCACTCTTAGTATAAGGAATATTGTTGTCATCAAGTTCGAATATTTTACATCAATCGAATGAAATTCAACCTTTCTCGAGCTTTATTTTCGACTTCGGGTGAAAGTGTTTTTGATTAAAGATAGCTGACGATTGCGTTGTGTTCTTGAGTTTTGGGGATTTTCACGATAGCAGGCATGTTGAGAACGAGAATTGGTAAGAAATGAGACTTGGTGATGGGAACTGATAACAAAAACTTTGTGATGAACAATGTTCAGTCAAATTGCAAACTGATTATCATTTTTACAAGATCGAAAGTGTACTTATCTATCGCGAGGAACTTTTATTCACAACGAGGTGCTCGCTAAAGCCCAGTTTAAGCTGTTTTTATCTATCTACTTACA